ACGTCAGTCAAGCCCAAAATTTCTGTTGCTAAGCAAGGCAGTTGTTAAGAGAGCTCTGACCCATTTTATGACCTTTTTGCCACAGTTGTTAAGCGAATTACTGCAGTTGTGAATCATGCAGTCCTTAAGCAAATCTGGCTTTCCCCATTGATTTTGTTTGTCTGAAGCCAGCTGGGTAGGATTACAAATGGTGATCACAGTGCAGCTATCATAAATATATGCCGATTCTCAAGCACCCAAATTTTGATCATGTGACCATGAGGTTGCTGCAACGGTCATAAGTGTGAAAATCGCTTTTCTTTTTTTTATTTCTTGTGAATTTTTTTCCACTTGGGTTAAATCATACTTCTTTGTTTTGTTAGGTTCCATCTTTAAGTCTCTATCCTTGAATTTGTATTCAGTTATCTGTTTTATCTGCTCCTTCTCTATTGTTGTTTTCTGGGATTTTTTGTTGTGAAGTTAAATTGGAGATTAATTGGTTTATATTTTCAAAGTTATTTTGGATTTCTTTGTGGTTTGAAATCATTGTTGTTTGAATTAGTTGCAGCATATCATATATCCCCTCTTGAAAGGTATTTATTTTTTCTTGATAAGTTCTTTCTGCAAGTCTCTGATTTTCCATTATGGCCAAGAATCAAGGTTTTCTTTTCTCTGCCAATAGCTTTGGAGTCATAGCTAAGTAGATATTTATAATCCAGAAAGTTCAAAAAGGGTTTTTTTCCCCTGAAGTTTATAATTCTCTCTTTGTCTGCAGCCCAGATTGTATTTTTTTTGTCACAGCTGTTCTCTATTGTTAGAGCTTTGAAGATCACAAGCACAGATTAGTTTTTTCCAGGTTTCGCCAAATCCTATATGAAAGCCGTAGCTGTCATAGTCTTTATCCACCACTAGATGTCAGCACCAGTTTATTTTTCAATTTTCAAAATAAATAGTTGCCTTTAAAATGAGAATCTTAACCATTCAGCAATTTCAAACTTATCCAAATTTAGGTTTTATATTCATTTCATTTCATTTCTATGTGTTTTGGTCCTCCATAAAAGGTTTAATTCGCTGCTTGTGTTAGTAAAAGGATGGGGCCAAGATTCCCCCTCCTTCACTTTTGGAGGTTTTTTGTTTCTTGGGATTTTTTTTTCTTCAGGAAAGTTAATAAGTAGGATAGAGAAATTTGATGTTCTTACCCAGATTCAAAAGCACTGTTTACAATCAGCTTAAAGTACTACTTTTTGACTTTGGTTGCTTGTACCTTGGGCTAGACTCTGAAGTTAGGCTAGCCTTTCTCCTGTTGGTTTCTGGAAGGCTTCTCCTGGACTGATCGGGTCGACCGCCATCTCTCGGTGGTCCATGGGACTTCCTTCCTTCTTTGCCGCCTCTTCAGGGTGACTTCTGGCCCATTTAGGGTCCCCTAAAAGGAAGAAAATCAGCCAAAGGGCACAGAGCCCCGAAATCCCTTGGCTGCTGCGCTACTGCACAAGACCGGAAGTCCCACTTTTCTCAGTGCTCTTCTAACTTTGAATGGTCACTAAATGAATGGTTCTAAGTCGAGGACTACTTAAATACTACATCTGCTTGGATGTAGGCAATGGTAGTCCTATTAAGGATCCTAGCTTAGTATAACTGAAATGAGCTTAGAGTAAAACACCTTTATTTCCATTTATGACATACTGAATAGAATTGGATTGAAATGGCTGGTACTCTTCTTGCTGTTAGGGAATGCTTCATGCAGCACATTGCAATAAAAACTGGTATCCTGACCAGTATTTTGCTTCTGAGGGTCTTTGAAAAATATATGAATGTGAGAAAGTTAGTTTCTATTTGTTGATTAAACTAAAGTGAATAGATTTGAATTGTGCAATGTTTTGCATGAATATAGAACTGAAAGTTGTTTACTGAATGTGATAAAAATGTACAATGTAAGTAAAGCATGAAAGAGAATACATGAATGCTGTAATTTTTCACTGTTTAAAAATATGATAAATATGTGTGGTGTGATGGGTCTTTGATTATTTAATGAATTTATGGATAATTGTGTAAAAATGCTTTGATATTAGAAATATGTTGGTGGGGGGTCTGAAGATAAAGCCATATGATGGACTGAGAACCAGAATGACAAATGTTAGATAAATTGTGTGATGCAAACAAGAACATGGACCTGGAACCTAATATATCTAAAACCAAAGTAGTTGTGTTTGACAGAGACAAAGGAGTGAATGATTGAATGCTATATATGTATGGAGAAAAAATAGAGCAAGTATATGAATTTGTGAAGATGGGGGAAATAAGTTGATTTAAGATATGCAAATACTGGGAGAAAAGATAGTGAGTAGCATATGGTCTGCTCCAAGGAAATGATCTTTATTAACAGAAATGAATATATGCTTGTATAGCATGCTTTTGCTCACTTTAATATAAATATATAAGTAAAACTAGATGCATCATAAAAATACAAAAATTACCATTGATGCGAATATTTTGTTTTGTATATATACAAATCTAAAAGTAAACTAC